GAGCAGGTGAACGCACGTGTCAGGACACCTGGGTTCCCCTCCCGAGCCCTGCCCTTGTGGTGACCTTGGCCAGGTCCCTCTGTCCCAGCCTGCCCACCACAAGGAAGGGGTCTGCTGGCCGCACTGGCCCCTTGGCAGTGTCACCGGACTGAACGCTGTCCCCAGGGCTACGGTGGCGGGGCGGATCTTCCCTGCAGGGATGGCAGAGCAAGGGGCAGGGAGGGCAGGGGCTGGGCACTTATGTAAGCCTGGCTGCTCCGGTTCTCCCGCTGCCCCGACGGGCACGGGGTGTGCGGACCTGGATGGGGCAGGACGGTCCGGGTCGTGTCCCCTGTCCCCATCCCCTGTCCCTTGTCCCCGTCCTGCAGTGCAGCCTCGGGGACTCCCCAGCCGCGCCGCGTGAGCCAGCTCTCCTTCACCGCCTCTGAGCATGTCGTGTCCTAGATAAAACCCTGTACGGGAGAGGGGGATTAGCTGGAGTTGAGTCACCCAGGGGAGGGAAATCCAGGGGGGGGAAATAACACCTAGGTGCACACAGGCTTGCACCACGGTAGGGGAGTACCTGACCCCCTCCCCACCCTGCAGCCCCAGCCCTCCCCTGGGGTCGTTCCAGGCTCTGGGAGGAATCAGGACCAGGCTCAGGTCCTGGCTGTGGGGGAATGCCAGATCTGTGGGGAGGTTTGCACCCACATTGGTGGGACAGCCCAGTCCCTCCTGGTACACAGGCAGGAGCTGCCTGGCCAGGGCCACTGGACAAGCAGTGTCCTGGTGGGGATGGCTGGGGAACACTGGGGCAGCTCCCAGGGGTTGCTGGCACCGTGACCTTCCCTGTGATAGCTGTGGGGACACAAGCAGCAGTCCCTCCAAGGGTCAGACCCTTCAAGTGATGGAGACTGTTGGGGCACAGACCCACCTCTCCTGTGCCTGCTCGGCCCTGTCTGTTTGTGGGCCAAATCCAAGCCAGCTCCTGCAGCCGTGGTGTGGCACTGACCCATCAGACACTGCTGGCACCCCCTGCCCAACCAAGCCTGCCCTCAGCCTGGGGGTCCCTGGGGAGAAG